GCTGAAAGGCATTTATTATTATGAACTGAAGAGCAGAATGAATGCACTTTGACCTTAAAATATAAAGTAATAACAGCAATGTGAAGAAAGCATATTGTCATTGTTAGTGGAAAATTATATTGATGTAGGTATTAAAAGGTAATATACTTTTTTTCCATAAGATTTTATTAAAGATCAACCTTTTTGAAAACAATCCTGGGGCGCCTAGGTGGCGCAGTCGGTTAAAGCGTCCAACTTCAGCCAGGTCACGATCTCGCGGTCCGTGAGTTCGAGCCCCGCGTCGGGCTCTGGGCTGATGGCTCGGAGCCTGGAGCCTGTTTCCGATTCTGTGTCTCCCTCTCTCTCTGCCCCACCCCCATTCATGCTTTGTCTCTCTCTCTCTCCCAAAAATAAATAAAAAACGTTGAAAAAAAATTAAAAAAAAAAAAAAAACAATCCTAAAAGCACCCTTTGGACTTTCTTTGTTTTTCTCTTTGTTACCTTTACAAGGTTCTTCCAGAAAGTACCAATTTTATTTTAAAGTTTTAATCAATATTTCACACAGTGAAATCTTTTTCTCTGACACAATGAGTTATCAAAGCATTTTTTTTCTTCCTGAGACAGCAGCTTTGAGCTGTAACTGAGGATAGATCTTGTGGATACTGTCTGTGTCAAGATTAGATCAGACACCATGGGAATTCCTTTTCATGTTTGTAACTCTTAAATCAGCATAAGCAATACACAAATTCTTCCATTCTAAAGGTGAGTTTTCCTCAGTGGAATGACTATTGCTGATAGTATTTGATTTTCATTACTCCAAAAACAAAATAGAACTGTATAGCTGAAAATTGTACCTGAATATATACTTATCTGACTCTCATTTTCTTTGAAAGCAGTTGTCTCCAAAAACTACAGTAACATATTCTTCTTAGTATATTGTTTATAGTTTAAATGATAAATGCAATTAAATATTTCAAGTAAAGTATTAGTCCTCCTCCAATACAAAGTCCTTTCTTATATTAAAAAAAGAAAAAGAGGATGAATTACCATCTATTCCTGAATATACATATATCTGATTTCTAGTTATATTTATAGTTTCTAGTTATATTTGTGCCAATAGAAGAGTTGTTCTCCATTAAGACTCTGAGAAGGGTTATGGCATACTGATTGAGTTTGGTCTGACATTAGATTTCGTGGGCTTCAATCCTGCCTCTGCCACTATTAGCTGTGTGACATTGGACAAGTTATTTAAATTCTTTTCCTTACTTGTAACGGTCCCTGACTCACTGGCCAGGTAGGAGGATTTAATGATATAATCTACCTAAGAACTTAACCCTATTCTTGATACATAATGGATGTTTCATACATAATTAGCATTATACTTACTTACATTGTAAGTCTGATGCATACAAAGACAAAACATTCACCTAAAAATGGCTCATACTTATTTACGAAAGGAAGAATTTATTCTCACTACATTTTCCTAGTCAATTTATATATTTGAGTCTTTTATTAACTTTTTTTTTTCAGTGAAGTCTAAGAGGTAAAATAATTTCTGTTCCTGAGACTAGAAAGCAACTGGGGTATAACAAATATGGTCTTCTGGGGGTAACATTTTAAACATGGATTTTCTTAAGCAGTCAATATTCTTTTAATATTAGATAACTTCAGATTTTTATGATTTCAGTGTTCTGTGACCAGCCAACCAGAAGCTTTCTTAAAGAAAAATGCCAAAGCTGGTAGGTTCCAAGAAAAACATACAGTTGGACTATGAGGGAAATTGCTTCCAATTCAGCTAATACAGCATTAGGCTCTGTTAAGGGATGTAATGGCTGTCTTGATTATTGATGGCCATGTGGATGCTTCCCTGCTTTAGAAGAATTGGGTAAGTAGAAGATGAAGTCATTTTCTAAAGCTTGGCCCACTGCCCTGCATTCTCTTTATTCTGACTGTTCAGACCGTGGGCACAGAGTAGCAAGAAAGGAAGTGAGATGCTGACATGAAAAATGGGGTTAATGAACCACGTAGATGAATAATACAAACAAAACCGTTTCAGCAAAGTAGAGTTTGCATCTTCTGCTCCATAAACAATGAGTATACACTCTAGAAATTAGCCAGCTTTTAAAATTTAATTAATTTGAAATGTTAAGTGGATCATAGGTATCTACTTCCATGTTGAAGGCTGCAAGGAAGTTAATCATCAACAGAACTTCTGGGAAAGGGAATTTTTCTGCATCCAGGAAATTCTCACACATGGGAAATTTTCACATGATTTTAGTAGTTTGAAGTAGGGTCTAAAACACTCGTTTACATAATCCTGTAATTAAGGCATTCTATGCCATAGTTTTCTGCACAATTATTCAGAAAATATTCAGGAGGACTAACTGATATCCTAACTACATAAATGATAGAAATTTAGTTTTTTAAAATATATAGTATATTTGGAGAATTAAATGCTTATGAAGAAGGACTGAAAGAATGTTTCAAGTAAGACATCTTCCCCTTGGCTAGAATTGTTTTCAGAATTTCTGTTCTATGGGAATTATTATGTCCAAATCACACTTTAATTTTCTGAATGAACATATTTCTTTAAAGGTGTGCAAGTGTGTCAGAGTAACTCTCTTTGCCCAGCCAAGGCCCCTAAAACAATGGCTTATTCCTGGTATGCATTACCTACCTACCCACCCCCCACCCCCACCCCGACTGGGTGAAAAACAGCTACCTCTCCAGTTTGGTTATTCCAGATCATCTTCTCTCAGAGAGAAATTTCCTGTTTGATCCTAAACAAATTATCTAAAAAAAGCTTCCAAGCCAGTGGTAATCAGAAATTAAATAAATAAATAAAAACAAAAAAAGCCAGCTCTCTACCATCTTGCACTCTTTTCTATCAGTCTGGAGAGTGTGTTTGTGTGTTTCTAATTTATACAGCCTAAGGTGAGGGAGGTGATATCCTTTCAAGGGGACCACATGCAAGTTTATGCCACAGGGGCAGGTGCCCACAATGGTTAACAATTGCCCTCACTCTGTGATGCTAAAATGTAACTGCCATTCTCCATCTGCAAATCCTGTCTCCCTGTGGTTCCTGTTCTCAGAGAAATGTTACTAAAGCTTGGAGGTAACTGCTTACAATAGAGCTGCCCTGGAATAAACTGAGAAGCTTTATATCCTCCTCACTGGAGGGCATATCACATTTTTTTAGTCTAGGAATAACTATATTTCTACCATAGTCCATCACCTAAAAAAAAAGAACTACCTATGGATATAGCTCATGTTAGTAAAAGTTAAGATCTCTGTCTTCAGTTCAAACAGCTATTTTAAAAATTTTTACAATAAATTACTGAGAGACTATAAATGTATAAACATATTGAATATTCTTTTTGAGAGAGTATTATAGTTTTATCTTTAAAAGAGAGGACGCCTTCAGAAGTAAGACAGTATCTGAGAAAGAGAAATTCTCTGTGGATGTTTTTTTGGGTTTTCTGTCCTAAAACACATATGCTAAAGCACGTGAGCAACTTCTCTGTGTATACATGCAGTGATATTTCTGTTGGTGTCAGGTGTGATGGATTGCTATAGTTTTGCAAAGTCATGCTTTGTGCCTTTATAAAATAAATCATATTTCAAAAAGCCAGTGACTTTTTTTTACAAATGCTTAAATTATGTGAAGGCATGTTTATATTAAAGGAATTCTGTATATTAAATAATATTTAATGAAGATATTAGAAGATTCAAGTTTATAATGTGTGTATCTTGGTATCTTCCCTTTCTCAATATCATAAGATATGTGCACCCCTGGGTGTTTATGTTAATTCCTTAATAATAAAATATGTTAAAAGCTATAAAAAAATGTTAATGTCTATATAAACAGTGAGCCCAATTACCTTTTAATTCGTTTGGAGATTTGAAATTTTTAAGCTCTTCTCTGTGAAAATGATGGTTGCATGGGGCACCTGGGTGGCTCACTCGGTTAAGCTTCCAACTCTTGATTTTGGCTCAGGTCACGACCTCATGGTTTATGAGTTCGAGCCCTGCATTGAGCTCTGTGCTGACAGTGTGGAGCCTGCTTGGGAGCCTCTCTCTCCCTCTTTCTCTGCTCCCCCCCCCTTTCTCTCTCTCTCAAAAAATAAATAAACTTATTTTTTTTTTATTTGAAAACTATGATTGCAGTGCATTGGGTTCCTACTTCCCTGGACAGGTGTCCTGTTAATGGTCTAATAGGGAACAGGCTGCTTTGTGCACTTTCAGGCTTTCAATGACATTTATAAACATATGCTATTTTGTCATTTTGTTATCTCTGGAGGCACCAGATTATGACTCTCCTGTTCATCACTTTATACCCTAGAGACTCGCATAGTTCCTGGCACACAGTAGGTGTTCAGAGCCTATTTTTCAGTGAATGATAAAAAGAACAAGCGTCATCCCATCAGCTGATCCCTGAGAGGTTGATAAGTCCACCTCTGTGTGAAGGCGTCACTAAATTGAATTCCTTGCTGGCCTTGCAGCAGCTACATCTTCCGTGCATCAATTCCTTGACTGCCATCCACGATGGAATCTTTCTGATCATCAGTCTCCTCTCATCTTCTCAGTTAACACAATTTTGTACTCCCTTTAGCATGACATATCTTTTTTCAGCCTTCCTGCTTCTAAAAAGTCTTCTATGATTTCTGAAATATGCATTCTATGATTAACAAACACTCATATAATCACAATCACTGTCTAATCAAAGACAGTTACCTTAGGGGTTCCTGGGTGGCTCAGTCGGCTAAGCATCTGCCTCTCGATTTCAGCTCAGGTCATAATCTCACAGTTCGTAAATTCAAGCCACACGTCAGGCTCTGTGCGATGAGCTGTGAGGTCAGAGCCTGCTTGGGATTCTCTCTCCCCGTCTCTCCATCTGTCCCCTGCTCACATATGCTCTCTCGGTCTCGCAAAATAAATAAACAAACTTTTAAAAAGTTATCTTCACTTGTTTCCTTTAACTGACAGTGAGTTTACCCTTAAACCGTTAATTTCCTTTTCAGATGGAGGACTGCAACATCTCACACCCTGCTTTCCTCAGTGTTGGTAGAAGGATTGCCATTCTCTTCATTTTCTACTATCAGGTAAGAATTCCTCCATTCTCATGGAGAAACCTTGCTTCTGTGGCTGTAGACATACTCTAACAGGTTATATAAGCATATTAATGGTGGAAATCTCAACATGATGGGATTTTTTCTTTCCTCTGTAATTTACTTCATTGTTTGAATTTTTAGTAATATGCATGTATTATCTTACCCCTCAAAGCTATTTTTCTCTTATTTTTACCAGCTTATTGAGTTGGAATGACACAGATAACCTTGTATGTTTAAGGTGTACATGTTGAATCGATACACATATATTGCAAAATGATTACACTGTAGTGTTAGCTAACACCTTCATGATGTCATAAAGTTACCATTTCTTTTTTTGTGGTAAGAACACATAAGATTTACTCTTTTACTGACTTTCCAGTAGATAATATAGTATTATTAACTGTAACCACTAAACTGTATATTATATCTTCAGGCCTTATTCACCTTAAAACTGGAAATTTGTACTCTTCAACCATTATCTTTTTATTTCCCTAACCACCAGCCCCTAGTAATGACCACTCTATGTTTCCATGAGATCAACTTTTTTAGATTCTACCTGCAAGTGAAATCATACAGTATTTACCTCTTTTTGTTTGACTTATTTCACTTAGCATAATGCCCTCAAGTTTCATACACATTGTTACAAAGGACAGGACTTCCTTCTTTCTCATGGCTGAATAATATTCCACTGTATATACACATACCACATCTTTTATATACATTTGTTTCTTGGGGGACACTTAGGTTGTTTCTATATCTTGGCTCTTATGAATAATGCTGCAGTGAACATGGGAATGCAGGTCTCTCTTTGAGATCCTGTATTCATTTATTTTGGGTATATACCCAGAAGTGAGAGTCCTGGATCATTTGGTAGTTCTATTTTAATTTCTTGAGGACCTCCATCATGTTTTCCAAAGTGGTTGCACCAATTCACATTCCCACCAACAGTGCACAAGTGTCGCCTTTTCTCTAAGTCCTCACCAGCATTTATTTCTTGTCTTTTTTCTAGTAGCCATTTTAACAGGTGTGAGATGATATCTCATTGTGGTTTTGATTTGCATTTCCCTGATGATTTATGATATCGAGCACCTTTACATATATCTGTCAGCCATTTGTATCTCTTCTTTGGAATAATGTCCATTCTGTTGCTTGGCTCATTATTTAATTAGATCCTTTCCTTTCCTTTCCTTTCCTTTCCTTTCCTTTCCTTTCCTTTCCTTTTTTCTTTTTTCTTTTCTTTTCTTTTCTTTTCTTTTCTTTTCTTTTCTTTTCTCTTTTCTTTTCTTTCCCTGCAGAAGCATATGAGTTCTTTATACATTTTAGATATTAACCCCTTTTCAGATACATGATTTGCAAATACATTCTCCCATTCCAAAGGTTGCCTTTTAATTTTGTTGATGATCTTCTACTGTTCAGAAACTTTTAGTTTGATGTAGTCTCCCCTGTTAATATTTGCTTTTGGTGCTTGTGTTTTTAGTACCATATCCAAAAAAATTGCTGCCAAGACCAATGTCAGGGAGCTTTTTCCTTATATTTTCTTCCAGGAGTTTTATGGTTTCAGATTTTATGTTTAAGTCGTTAACCTACTTTGAGTTAATTTTTGTGAGTGTTGTAAGATCGGGTTCCAGTTTCATTCTCTTTCCTGTTGTTATCCACTTTTCCCACCATTTATTGAAAGGGCTGTTCTTTCCCCATTGAGTATTTTTGACTCCTTGTCAAATATTAGTTGGCCGTAGTTGAGCAGGTTTATTTCTGTGCTCTGCATTCTATTCCAGTGGTCTGTGTGTCTGTTTTTATGCCACTATCATACAGTTTTGATTACTACAGTTTTGTAGTATAGTTTGAAGTCAGGGAGTATGATGCCTCCAGTTTAGTTGTTTTTTTCTCCAGATTGCTCTCCCGTGGCTTTCTCATGACTGGAAAATCTCCGTCCACCTTAGGTGTGGACACTGCTGTGGAGACCAGTGACAGGGTATGCCTGGGGGCAGGTACACGGCTGGGAGTGGGTAGCTACAGGTTAGTGTTGTGGTATAGGTCAGTGACAGAAGAAAAAGCCTGATCTGAGACCACAAGCAGCTGGAGAACTGCCTGTTCTCCTGGGGCTGCATGTAAGTACGCAGCCCGAGTGCACTTTGGCAATGGGGTGAGGGGTCAAGCACAGGGTTCTAAATTGGCTTCTTGCACTCTAGCAGCCACAGAGGTCTAAACTAGCTGCTGCTGTGTTTTTTGGGCTCCAGTGGGAACAAATAAAAGGAAGCAGGGAGGGACTCAGGGAACTGGTGTCAGCAAATGAAAATATCTATGAAGCAAAAGCTGATGAAATCTTCAGGGTGTCTTTGGCAGCTATGCTGGCTTTTGGTTCCTTCTTCAGTGGCAAAGCTTCTGGATTTATCCATCAAACAGGTCGCTGTGAACCTTACTCCCTCCCACTGCATGGCTACTATTGGTAGCCCCTGCTTTTCTTTCCTGTTTCTAGCTGTCCTTACAAGTCTCAGCTTTTCTGGTCTAGATGAAGTGAAACCAAACTGGGACCTTTCTGTGGTGCCCCAAAAGGCTAGAGTAGATGGTAGCTCACCCATTCTTTCTTTTCTCACAAGGGGAACTCATTCTATCTGGGTAGTACCTTCTTGGCCCTGAGCAATGCCAGCATGGAGGATGAGAGGCTGCTGCAAGATGAAGCTGCCTTCCTTCTCTTCTTAGTCAGTTATTCACAGATTTTTGTTGCACTGTCTCTAAAATGTCTTGAGTGGACTCCAGAGCTCTCCTAGAGCTGATTTTGTTCACAGATAGCTGTCTAATTGTTGATCTTTGTTGGAAGATGGAGGCTGGAGTCTCCTGTGTCTCCCATTTGGGGGCTATCACTCTCAAAAAAACTCCTTTTAGGGGTGCCTGGGTGGCTCAGTCGGTTGGGCCTCCGACTTCGGCTCAGGTCACGATCTCGCAGTCCGTGAGTTCGAGCCCCGCGTCAGGCTCTGGGCTGATGGCTCAGAGCCTGGAGCCTGCTTCTGATTCTGTGTCTCCCTCTCTCTCTGCCCCTACCCCGTTCATGCTCTGTCTCTCTCTGTCCCAAAAATAAATAAACGTTAAAAAAAAATTAAAAAAAAAAACTCCTTTTAAATAAAAGGGCTTCTGGTTCCTGTCTAGCTTATGCTATCACATTGTACCATTTCTACAGGTTTACTAGCTTGCCTTGCCGCTAGCAATCACGATTCTTGAAAACTCTAGAACCTGGATCACCATCTTCCATTCTCCTTCCATTTTTAACATTATGGTAGGTAACTTCAGGAGCCATATGACAGATGCAATCAATATTCTAGCTTTACAATCCATTAATCTCATCTCCTTTCTACCCCAGTCACATGTTTTCTAGAGTCAAAGATCTCATCACCTCGACTTCATCTCTCAAATTATAAATTCAACTATTGTGTGACTTCATACAATCAATCTTCTTTCTTCCTATCTTTCTCACTCAGTATTCATTGTTAGACCTGATATCTGATACCATCAAAGAATCCAGCTCCTTTGTCTTTCTCCTCTGTCAGACCAGCAATTTCTACAGCACAAAATCTGGGGCCTGATTATCTGAGGTAGGGTCCCAGGTCTTCTGATGGTCCTCTATCATCATAATTATTAGTAATATTATGTTTCTATAGTTATATTCAACCTGTATTTTCCCAAATTTTCAATTATTTTACCCTACATTCAGCATCATACCACCTGAAAACCTTAATCTGGGGACAGGCCCAACTAAGCTATTTAAAGCTGCTAAAGAAATTGCACTAGATTAGTAGTAGATGAGTGTCAGTATAAATTATCATCTCTACATTACCTAGGATACAGTATTGCTGAGAAACCCTTCTTTACTTTCTCTGACATTCCCTTCAGCAATTGTTTAAAAACTCTTCTCCTTTTTATAACCAGTAATCCTACAATGTCTGAACATCAGTAGTATCTCTATTGATTTGAATTTATATGTGTTTAAGTGCCAGTGCTTATAAGTTCATATATGTTTTGTATATGTTTAGGCACCTATTTGTGTGTGGGTTTCTATGTGTATAGTTCAGTATGCATAGTTGTAAGCTTATTTCTGTGTGTGTGTTGCTAGGATATTACCTTAAACTTTAGAGAGAAATAGAAGCTATCAATTTATTGCCATCAAGCTTATAAACCTGCCAGTATCCATTAGTTTTTCTCCTTTCATTTTGTCACACTAGGAGAGTTTATCCTACTGCTAAGTTGAATCCCTCCATCTGAGCACAAAATCTTACTACTTTCTCTCCCTCAGGAACCCTTTCTTACCAGAAAATTCCTAAGGAATTCTATTTTTTTAAGGCAATTAACAGGTATTGTGTCAGAAAACATGCTCTTTGATCAAATTGGTTTTGGAAAATATTGGAATCATAAAATCAAATAGATTTGTCACAAAATTCATAGAGGCTCTATTAAAATGCCATCATATGTAACGAATGCTCCAAAGGGGACATTATGTAGCATTACCCAGACATAGAATGTGAATCAAGGAATATTATCACAAGAACATTACCACCCCACCTTTGCTCTTTCGTTTCACCATTTCTGTTGCCTGTTGAATATGTCTTAGTTTTCGAATCCAAAGGAACCAATAATGAGCCAACTTTTCTTCTCTCTCAGCAATGTTCTCTCTTTCAGCTTACAGTCAAATGCCACAAAAGAGGTGGGACTCTCACTGTTTCCAAACCTTCCTGAATCTGCCTGTATCTCCACTGCTCAGGTCCCCATGGACACTGCCATACAATGGTTAGGACCTTCTGATGTTGAATACTCCTGACTTTTTCAAATATTCCTATCTCTAGAATTTTTTGCCTGACTTTCACTCCTCAATAACCTTTGGCAATTCCTTCTGTTTTTACACTTGTATGACAATGTTCCTTGAGGTTTCATTGCAAGTGATCTTCTCTCCTCCAATTAGATGCTTTCTATTTGGATCACTCATCATTTCCCAAGGCTTCATGCAACACTGT